TCTTTCCCTCTCTATTTCTTTTTTGTCTTTCTATTCATTTTTCTCATTTGTCTCTTCTTTCTCTTCTTTTTTTTTTTTCCAATTTTTTTCATATATCAATATTGATGTATAATTTATCAATATTTATTTTTATTTATTCAATATTTAAAATTATTTTTAATTTATTAAATATTATTTTATGTTAATTTATTTTATATTATTAAAATTTAACTAATGTTTATTTTTAATAAAATTTAATATTAAAATATCAAATTGTAAAACATATGTTACAAAATAATTTTTGTATATGGTGAAAATTAAGTATTTGAAATTTAAGAATTTTAAGTTAAATTATTCAATCAAAACAATTAAATTTTCAAGTATCTCCCTTTTAAGTTTCTTCATCCAAACATAAATTGAGAGAAATTTTTGGGTTACTTATAAAACTAGTATGTGAAATATACCTAAAAATAGAACCTTGAGTGTTTGTGATTTTGAGATTTTTTTTTTTTTAATAATTTAGTTATATGAAATATCAACTTAAATATAATTAAAATAATATGTGTGTATATATATAACTTGAAAATATTTTTTATTCATCTTACATGTAATTTTAAAGGATAAAAAATAAAAAATTATCAAACCAAATAAACTTAGTACCTTTTTAGCCGAACTTTTATTGGTTTAGCATGATTTAATTGGCTCATTGAGTTATACAAATTGGCTTGATCTATTTCAGGTTGAAAAATAAAGAGTCCAAGTTAACTTAACCTAGCATTTTAAAAGTTATCCCATTAGGGTCAATTTTGATAGTTTTATCGGTTAATGGATATCATAAATTTGAACATATTATTCAAATTCAATAGCACATAAATTAAAAAATATCAATATATGAAGGATTATGTGTAGAGAAATGTAACATAGAGGACATATAGTTAAAATCAATTGTTTATTAAAAGATTGTATTGATTTTATATTTTTCTTTATTCAAACCTTATTATTTGTGTTATTTTTTTTATTAATTGTATTGTTTTTTTAAAAACTTCATATTGTCATTTGAAATCTGATTTCTTTTAACATAAATCCATTAGAAAATCTTGATTATAAAAGTCTTTTAAAAAAATTAAGAGTATGTTTGGATGAATTTAAATAAAGTAATTTTTTTTGAAGAATTTCAAATGCCTTAGAGTGAAATATTTTGCTTAGATGGAGAATTTACAAAAAATTTAAAATATAAATATTTGTAAAATTTCATAAAATAGTAAATTTTCAAATTCTCTCAAAAGGGTAAAAATTTAAAATTCTTCATTTTTTTTTCTCATTTATATATCTTTTATCTCTCTCATGTCTCTTATATTTCATTTTCTCTCTCTCCCTTTTTTTCTCTTGCATCTCTTATACTCTATTTTCTCTCTCTCACCCCCCTTTCCTCTCTCTCCTATTTCTCTTTTCTCTTCATTATTCTCTTTCTATTTTGTCTTTTCTCCTTTTTTTTCTTTTTGTTTTTTCTTCTACCTCTCTTTCAAAGTCGACATAAAAAAATATCAATATTTTTTTATTTATTAAACATTCAAAAATATTTTTAAATTATTAAATATTATCTAACATCAATATTTATTTTTATAAAATTTAAACTATATATATATATATATATATTTAAAATCAATTTTATCCATGGTGGAAATCAAATTACCATATTCAAACTAAAAACTTAAAATTTAAGAAATTTAAATTGACTTATCTAAGCAAAACATTTAAAAAAATGATGGAAATTGAAATCAAAGTAATTCAAATTTCAAAAATTTTAAATTCCTTGAATTTCTAAAATTTTTCATTCAAACACACCATAAAAGTCATTGCATTCCTATAAAATATTTTAAAAATATCTTAAAATTTATTACATTTATGCAAAGTCTTTAAAAATCCTCAAGACTTTTTCTTACTAAAATAGTCTTATGAAATCTCAATCTAATGCACCTCTTAGACTATTTAATTTCACATTTTTTAAATAAATTTTTTATCTAATAATCAGTACTTTTGTATTAATAAAGGGAATATTCCCTTTTATGTACACAATTTTGATTTATTTTATTATTATAATTTATATATTATATCTCATTTTACCCTTCGTAACTATCCAAAATCATTTTTGATTATCAATCAATATCTATATAAAGAGATTTTTTCATTTGGATTTGGTGTCTACTTTTATTTTCTTTATTTTATCCTCAATAACTATTCGTAACTTTTAATAACCGTAAAAATTATGTAGATAAATTAAAAGTGTGCTTTGAAAATCTTAAATTACTTGTTTTCATAAACTAGATATTATTTTTTCACTTTACATGACCCAATGTATGAATTAGACTCATGATATATATACCTTCTTTTATTATAAGTACATTTCCTTTTTTTAAAATAAGCTTTTAAAATATTTTTATTTTCTATTTTTTTAATTTAGTAATTATTCCTTCTTTTTCACACACCTCCTTTTCTCTCTCTTTTAATGTTCACATGTACTACCTTGTCTTTCCTTTCAGCTGACTTTCTTCTCACTCCCACATTTAGTTTTCACATTATTACCATCTTCATCTCCTCTTTCAATTTTCACACACCCGAGATGTAGAATTGGTGCATGACAACATTGTAGACGCATCTGACTTCCTTGAAAGCGTTGAAGTTGTATTTTTTTCTTCTAATACTTCTTCCCCTTTTATATTTTAAAAAATTACACCAATAAATTTAGTATTTCAGAAAAGACTTTTTAGAACTTTAGTGTTCTAAAAAGTATTTTTTAAACACTAAATTTACTTTTTCAAAATGAATTTTTTACAATTATGTAAAATAATACACTTCTAAAAAGTTTTTTTGAAATTATAAATTTAATATTTTTGAAAGTACTTTCCGGAATAGAGAACTTAGTGTTCCAAAAAATACTTTCCAGAATACTAATTTCTCTATTTTGAAGGTACTTTTTAGGACACTAAATTTACTGTTCTGAAAAGTACTTTCAAAACATGTGTAATATTACCCAATTTCAAAAAATTCTTTCTAAAGCAGTAAATTAGTGTTTTGTAAAATATTTTTCAAAAGTATGTAAAAATAATAATTTCAGAACACTAATTTTTCTATTTCTAAACACTAAAATTAATGTTCTATGAAGTATTTTTCAAAATACTAAATTTAATTATGTGGTTTTTAGAAATATAAAAGGGAAGAAAGTACTTAAAGAAAATACAAGTATTTAACTCAACACTTTTAATATTATCGAAAAAATTATTTGTATCTACAACATTGTCATACACCTATTTTATGTCTCAAATGCGCTTGAAAATTGAAAAAGGGAGGAAGAGTAACAGATTGAAAACTAAAAAGGGAAAGACCAAAAGAGGGAAGCAAAAGGGTGCATGTGAAAATTTAAAAGGAGAGGAAACAATATGTATGAAGAAGAAAAAAGAGAGAGAGAATGTTAAATTAACATTGGAAGTGTAAGATTAAAGAATAAAAAAAATAATTAATTAACTTTATATATATATATATATATA